TGCATTCACCTGCCACATTCAGAGTTATCTGAGGGCAAGATAAAGTTAAAACAACCAGAACATGGACTCGGGCTCCGGGCTGACAAAGCTAAACCGCCCGTCTGCGCGTAACGCACAGAGCCTGGTCGCTGTTGATCATGTGCCAGGCCCCATTCAGAGGGGGTTATCGCAAAAGCCTAGGCCGCGAGTGTGACCCTGCCTAACACTACCTTCAGTTTAGTTCACTTTTATTGAGGGAAATGTAGGTCTTCACCTTTGAACTCCCTATTTGTTCACAGGCAACTGCAAAATCTCAAAAACTGGAAAAGGTATCTCAAAGGTAACAAATAATCGGAAAAACGTCAACTCTGTACAGATAAACACACTGTCTCGACTGTTATTGGTACGAGCAGTAATACAACGGTCGTCTCGAGTGCAGGGAATAATATACTCGCTGAAAAAAAGTTGCATATGTGCACGTCAGTAAGCGTAGGCGATGGGTTGGAGACAGTAAGAAATCCAATTTAAATTTTACTGAAATATAGCAAGTAGTATTACAACAACTGTACTTGTCAAGGTTACAGAGGTCGGGTGGTAACTTAGTGGACACTGCTATACAAATCTAGCTTCCTCTTAAAGACCTCGACGGAAGCAGACATAACGACATCCGGTGGGAGGGCGTTCCAAGCTTCAAGTGCTCCGTTAGAGAAGAAGAACTTTCGTGTGTCCAGCCTGGCCCCGGTCACACGTAGTTTGAATGGATGACCTCGCAGGTTTGTGGTGTTTGCTAACTCGAAGAAGTCCCCCGGTATGAGGCTGCAGTCCTGACCACGTATTACCCGGTCCCGGATGAATGAGAAGAATTGGGGCGCCCGTTGGGAGGATCGTATATTCTGTGCGGAGAGTAACTTGAGAAGGGATTGAGAAGAGTTGGCAGCCGGATGAGGGCACGTCCGACACTGGAAGAGCAGAGTCCCAAATGTCCTTCAGGGAATGCGTCAAAGCGTCTTAAGACAGGGCACGTCTGACTCATACTTGGATCTGATTGGTCAGTTGGAAAGCTGCGTTGGCGAATGTCAGACCGTTCTGGTGCGCACTCGCAGACCTGCTAGACTCCCAACGTTGCGACAGGCGCTCGGATTTGGGCCGCTACAGGGTCCCACATAAGTAAGAATGACATGAAGGTCGTATCAGGCGGAAGCCCTCGCAGCCTGACCCTCCGGTTCAAGAAAGACCGTCTTAACCTGTCAGTCAGCAATCTTCCAGGCCCACAACGCACTTCGCGGCGGGTTCATGCGCGTCGTCCTGATTATGGTGTGGAATGCGTTGGTGTGACGTGAAGATTGATTCCGCAGTGTCGGTCTCACTCTTCTTCGGTCGATTGTCCGAACCTACCAACTAACTGGTGGTGAGATTGCGCGGTGTCTGATGTGGCATGAATAGCTTCGTCCAGGGCATGTCACGCACACATAGGCGATGGTTAGTGACGCATGCGGACGCTCATTTATTCTTATGACCATAGGTACGTTTTTTCATTTTCCAATGAACAACGCAAATATCTGTACTAAAAAACTCAGATCTACTTTGCCTGCGCGAATGGAGTTAAACTTGACAGATAGAGTTTTATGCGTCCAAATTTAGTTTCCTGTGGTTCTTTCCCTCCCAACTGCCGACCGAATAATCCTTTGGTATAATTCTCTCTCAGAACGCTCCACCATTAAGGACCCAGGTTAATGTTATATGAATACCTCACTGAGGCCAAATTTCTGCAAAGTCTCCGCAGATATGTGGTTTCATATCGCATATTTTTTTCCAGAAGTGGAACCGTACGTCCGTCCGTTTTACCCTCGAATGTCAGTGCTCTCTATTTGGTCCAATGAACACCACTGACCGTGGTCAAGTTGAAAATTCTCAGGGAATTTTTATTCAAAGTCTCGTCCCTCTTGCTGGATCTAGTTTTGCTCGCATTGAGGGATGTCAGTTGGCCAACAGTAAATTTTTATGGATTACAAGTCTCAAGGCCGATCTTTACTTCTCGTTTTACACCAATTCAAGCCTGCATATCATGTGCATTGACCTTATGACATACGTAACCCCACCATTTTCAATCCACCACCTGTTGGCTGTGCGTCAAAAAATGCGGTTTTCCCTCTAGATAAGTTTTCCTTTGGGAGTGTAGATATGCCCAGTTAGGGGTACACAGTATTGGGTGGTAAGTCGCCGCATGTACCTCCTGCAGTGGTAGCTGCTCCTGGCGGCCTATAACTGACGTCCAGCTCTCGTCTGTGTCTCTCCGAAACTAGGCTCCGCCTAGAACCTGGTATACGCCTCGACCAGCGAGCTAGATCGGATGAGAGTATCCGGTGTTTTGTGTCCTGATCCCCTTCTCATTCTTCCCCTATTCCAATTCAACAGTCCTGTGCAGAGGGCGTAATGATGACCTGTGGTCCGTCCTCCATTGAACGAATCTGTGACTCTTTGGGCACTTCGCCAGTTATCTGGGATGTTCAGCGGGCCGAATTAGTGATAACACCGCCTGCGCCCTCGCGAGGGAAGACACCGGAAAAGCTGCCCTAGCATGCTGGGAAATCTCGCACATTTGCAAACTGACCGTGACTCGTTGATTTAAAACTCGTGGTAAAAACTGCGCAACGAACAGCAACCCTCGTCCACATCAGTTCCATCCAATCTCATATGCTGTTGGAGTGATTCTGCTCACTCCGGTAGCCTGTAATTTTCGATCTCTTTTAGGCAGTGCGTTGAGCAACCGGCCGGGAAGGAGGACGGTACTAGTCGCTGGATAACTAACGCCCCAAAAATAGACATCCTTGCTAATAGACGTGAAGAGGCGAGTTCCAGGATGTGGTCGCGGAGAAGGAGACAAGATCACTGGAACAAGTGCTTTATTAGCTTCTTCTCTGCAGACATCCGTGCTATCGGCGAAACCCGATTCGCCGAAGAAGGTCGACTAGAGGAAGCATATGATGACTGCATTTTCTTCTAGGCCGGACAAGCATGAACAGAGTGACCTATCGCCATCGACATCCGGAGCGACATCGTAGGAAGACTGCCCTCTCCGCCGTAGAACAGCAGCGACCGTTCGATAACCCTATGCCATCCTCTTCTTGGAATCCAATTTGCCACCGCTGTCAGTTCTTACAAGACGAAAGCAAACTTTTCTAAGACCTACACACCCTGAAAACGACTGTGTCTAAGGCAAGCAAGCTGAGCGTCTTTAGTGGATCCAATTCTCACGTCGTGACAAAACATGCTGCATGGGAGGGAGTTTAGTGACCCTATGGTCTCGGCAGTTATTACAATAACGGCCTCCTCCTTGTGGGAACCTCCGCAGAACGTCATCTCCTCCTGACCAACACCTCTTTGGACCTTCAGACGCTGGAAAATGCAACGTGGAGTCACCCCTAGATGCAGGGTTGACATTTACCGGACCACGCTCTCGTTCTCCCACACTCAAAAATGGTGAGGACACTCCTAGCGCCCCACCAACCATCATTCTCACTACCAACAACATGAACTCGCTCCGAACCTGTTCTCGTTGTGATCACTCCTTTGCATCATGCAGAGGCCTCGGCGGCCACTTGAGGGTCCTTTGCACTGAGATTGGCGAACCGACCGTCGATTTCGACGATGTCCACCGTGTGTTACCCAGCGAGGCGCAGCAGGAACCGTGACTTAGTTTATAGGGATGGTAAACTTGTGCAGCATCCACCACACACACTCCCTCTCTCTTCCCTACTCCCCACCTGAAGTTGGTGTCAAGACAAAATTAAGAAGACCGGAGAGGGGGAGGTTGCAGATGACTGACACGGTCAGACCCGCGCCAAGGCATGCCACCACACTCCCTGGTCTACAACATACACTTAATCAATAACAACACCCCAACAATGCTTGGAAGGACGACGATGACTGCGTAGTCATGCCCACCATCTGTATACGCACCGGGACTGCAAGCACACCTACTGACAGTTAACCAGGTGTGGGGGAACTGCCAGTGCACACCAGGCTGCGAAGGCCACGGTTTGCTGATACTGACATAACATACACTTGTGAACCTTTTGACCTGGTAGGGCGACACGTGGCCCTGCATCTAGCCTGGGCCGTCATCCTTCAAGGTTGGGTAACCAAACAGTCGTCGACTGGGAGGCACTACTCATAAAGCACACACGCTCTTCTCACGTGCATGAGAGTGTCACAGATCGCATGAGAAGGGGCCGTGACAGCCTGGCCCTCAGCCCATCTGTCCGCCACTCCACACAACTGGGCAGACTGCGTAGACTGAGTATGGATGTCTTTCGGTTGCCTTCCGAGCCACGAAACTCGATGCGCCGTCTGCGTCTTAGACTCTGATCACACACGAAACAGGCAAGCCGCATGGAGAATGAGCCGAGACGCAGACTTCCCACTTGCGTGGGAACAGACATTTCGTGCTTGCGGCGGGAGACGTTGATGCGCAGTGAGACGCTGGTAAGGGGTTGTGTTGGTGTGGTGCAGCCGGCGGTTGTCAACTGCAGGTTTTCGTGGACGTGTAAGTGATAAAGCCATTAGTTAGGCACGGTAAGTAGGCTATGCGGACACGAAGATAGAAGTATCCCAACAGTTACAAACTAGTAAATAAGAACAAAGTTGTCAGCAGGTAAAAATGCACGTGCTAGGTCTTTGTCTTATTCAAAGTTGTGTCAAGGTATTTTCCAAGAATATTATAACTGATTAAAACAAAACGGACCTGAATGTCACTACAGACGCGCATGTGGCCTAATAGGCCCATGCGGTGAATAAAAGTGCGCGTGCAATATGGACAGTGGAGGCGGATGCGGCGAGTGTAGATTGGTGCTCCAGACACTGGTTCGCCAGTCTCTGCACGATGAATCCGCAAGTGACCGACCAGGCCGGTATGTGAGGTGAAGGTGCGATCGCAAATAGGACAGGCATAGATCAGGTTCTCGGAACTGGTGTTGACGGTAGTGGTATTGGCGTTTGTTGGAGTGTTAAGATTGTGTACAATGCTGATGGACATTTCAGACGCCACAGCGGCAAACCTTAAGACCCTGGATGAGGAGGAGGAGGAGGAGGAGGAGGAGGAGGATGGTAGTGGTGCTTCGGGACGGCAGTCAACGTTATTTGACGGCGTGCGAGGCAAAGGAGAGGTGGGCGATAATACGAATGTTAGTATGTCGGGATGATGTCGCCGACAATACAAAGGTTTCCAAATCAAAAGTTTGGTAAGACGGGTTGAGTTGGACAAGCTTTACTGCTGAGGATGTGCATACACAAAGCTCTGTAAGCAGTCGCCGCGAGCGCGCTCGCCAGGCAAATTATGCTATCTGTGTCCGCCTTCGAGGTGCTCAGAACCAGTGCATCTGCGCGCCCTTCGATGTCTCGGCTTCCGCCAGACAATCGGAGGAGGAAAGACGTTGAGTGGCTTCGAGCACCCGCGAGGCTAGTGACAAGCCTCGCGCGTCCCAGCAGCAGATCGACAGGGAGTGAGGCGGACAGGAGGACAGCGGGACAAAGGCGGAGAGCAAGGAGCCGCGAACTGCCACAGGTGCGGCCTCGGTGTTAAAGTTGATCTGTAAGTGCCAAGCAAGTCCAAATGGCGCCCGGATTGTCCGTTGACATCTTGGACACGTTGGAGGCGGTTGGGCGTTGGCGTTATGAGGTGGCGGCGACGACTATTGGAAAACTTCTATTATTATTCCAGTATTTAAATCTGGCTGTCATTCTGACGTTCAGAACTATCAAGGTGTCCATAAAACGCCTTCTCTCGCTAAGACCTTTGAAAAAATTATCGCCTTCAAAATTACCGACTTTTGCATAGCCAATCAAGTTATTAGCCCTTCCCAGCATTGTTTTTTACCAGATCGCTCTTGTGAAACATGTAACCAGTCGTTTCTCAATCTACTTACTTCTCTCCGTAATGACCATCTTTCTGTTGTCGTTATTTATTTTGATCTTAGTAAAGCCTTTGATAAAGTGCCACATAGAAGACTCTTGGTTAAATTGGAAGCTCTGGGAATTCGCAGTCCGCTTATAGACTTTATTAAGCCATACCTGTCTTATCGTTAAGAAAAGGTTCTAGCGGGATCTTCACTTTCCAGTGAAAGCCTTATTATAAGCGGTGTCCTACAAGGCACCGTTTTAGGTCCTCTTTTGTTCCTGCTTTACATAAATGATATCTCGGCAGCAGTTAAATATTCTCAAGCATTTATTTATGCCGATGATCTGAAATATGTATATTCTTTCAATAAATCTACGAGCCATCATTGTCTGCAGCAAATCCATGCCGACTTTCTTGCTCTCTCAGCTTGGAGCTCAAAATGGCTAATGGAATTCTCTCCGTCTAAATGTCGCTATATGTGTTTTGGACCTGGCAGACTACCCCAACCAGTGGTCTTTCAAGGCACACCTATGGCTGAATGTACCACCATCAAGGATTAAGGTTTAAGCTACACTAATACTCTTGATCTCTCGCCACACTCTGACAGAATTACAGCTAAAGCTGCCCAGATTTGTGTCTTTATTTCTTACAATTTCTGTCTTCCCAAAATTAAATTAAAACTTTATCAGATGTCTGTATTTCCCATTCTCGATTATTGTTGCCCATTCTTTGGTTTGATGAATGCAGCTAGTCGTTTAAAAGTTGAAAACGTCCAAAGACGTTTTTATAAAAAACTTTTAAATAAGGAACATCCCAATATCTCCTACTCAGATAGGTGCCAGCTAATTAACCTAAACTTTTTATGGGTTCGAAGACTAGAAGCAGGCTTCTGTCTCCGCTTTCGCATTAATAATAGTTCAAATCTTCCTCGGATTTCAGCATTTACCCCTGGTAGTCGCCCATACAATCTTCGTAACTCTTCCTTGATTATACCTCCTCCAGCTTCCTCCACCTCTAAGCGCTCTCTTTTTTCACTTTCAGATATACTTTCCTCTGGAATAACCTTCCAATAAATATAAGATCCTCAGAAAATCTACACACCTTTAGGAGAAGGCTACGCCTTTATCTGAATACTGACTCGATTAAACTTTTATTTTCCTCCTCCTTCCCAGACAACTTTTTCTATGACACTTAGAAAGGGCCACCGGGAATTTAGTATGCCGCCATTAAATTTCCGTATCCGTTCACATTCCCTTCATTTATGAGTAGTCTCGCTTCCTAAGATCCCTCACCAGAAATGTTAATTTTCCAATTTTTCAGTTCATGCATCTTGCCCTCAGAATCCGCCCCATTGATGCTCTTGGAGAGGCCTTGTGTATTCGCTATATACTAGTAGTCTGGTCGCATCTCCCTCGTCCCCTCCTCGGATGGATTCGGCTGAATGTAACCGATCGCATCTTGGTTCCTATCGCCTCGAGACTGGTTTTCAAGTCGCCACATTGACATGAAGGGCCTCATCCGGCATATGAATTCTGCCTTGATGATAACCGTTTCGAACCTTTTACTCAAGGCCACAAACAGGCCAGTCCTGCTTGACCCTCCTACTTATCCCTTTATGAAATCCGTTGTACAACGCCATAGACAGCGACGGTTTTCGCGGTTCTTGATGTCATCTCCCGCATTTCGACCTCATGCGGTCTGTCGACGCTCATGGCGGAACCCTCAGTATTCGCCGTCTACTAGTAGTTTGGTCGTACCTCCCCTCCCTACTCCTCGGCTGGGCTCGAAGCGTACTGTGGCCGACCGTGTCTTGGTTCCTCTCGTCTGGCCTCTTTGACGCGAATAGTCTCATCCGGCGTATCAATCCTGTCCTGACGATGTCAGTTCTGAATCGCGTATACAATACCACATGAATGTTAGTCCTGTCCGACCCGCATGTGTACCCTCAAGGCGGACATTTATTTCTGCCCGGACGATGTCCGATTATAATCCGTTATATATTGCCACATGCAGGACAGTCCTGCCCGCATTTTTCTGTTATTATTTTTTTAGCGAGGAGTATTTGCTCCCGTAAAACTGATCCAATTATTTTTAACTTTTCAGTGGAGTTTTTTTCACCTCTCGCTAATCATGTTTTAACGGACTACTAATTCAGAAGCTATGAATTGCATCTTGTGCAGATTCTGCCTACCGCGTTTAATATTCGCATGTAAATGTATTTTTACTTGCTTTGATGGGACCCCGAAGGGTCTTTAATAAAAATTATTATTATTAGTTGAGATTCACGTGTGTCACGTTTGGCTTCGGCGGCGGTGATGCGGTTGGCTTCGAAAATTGCTGCTCCTATCTTAACTTTCCGTATCGTGCGTGGCTTGGACTGCGTCCTCCGGTGTGATGAATATTGTCAACTTGCGACGACAAATAACCTCCGGGGGCATCCCTTCAAACTACATGTTCCCAAAGGGAGATTGGATGTAAGAACGAATTTTTTCTCCAACCCTGTCTTAGAACCATGAAATAACCTGCCTGAGGCGACTATAACGTCTCGGACTGTGGAGACATTTAAATATCATCTGGGCAGAAATATATTGCGTCAGCAAACGGACTAGGTGACTTTTGTCAGAAAAACTAATGTCCTATGTGAATCAATGCCTGCATTCACTTGTTGCTTGAATTTATTCATGTTGGTGCTGTTTTTTTAGATTTTTATGTACAGATAGGAAGTTCAAAGTCGTAAGCCCATTTTCCTCAAATACACTGACATTGAATGGCTAACTGACCTCCTCCCGATAAGTCGGTCTTTCAAATTTTCCGGATTGAGATGCAGGCGCTTCAGGGAGGTCTTCAGAGTATCCTTACAATGTCGGACTTGAACTCCTTGTCTGCGTGAACTCCATAGAAGAGTCGTTTGGGTAGCCTCTCGTGGTCCGTCAGTACGAGGTGACTACTCCAGCGCAATTTTAAACAGCTCAGCATAGCGTAGATTCTGAGGATTCCCGTCCGCTCCGTTACGTCCGTGTCTGAGATCTGGCACTGCCACCTCAGATTCAGTATTCGACGATGACAGCTGAGTTGGAAATGATCGAGTCTGCGTGTCTGCTTCATGTACACCGTCCAGGTCTCTGTTCCCTAGGGCAACGTCGGTAGGATGACGACCTTGTACATTTTCACTTTCGTGTCGAGTTAAAGACCGCGAGGATTCCAGCCAGTGTTCCGCAGACGGCCGAAGGCCTGACTTGCCCGGGAAACCCGGAGGGCCACTTCGTTGTCGATTTTGGTGCTGCGGGAGATGGTGCTGCCCAGATGCATGAAATTGTCCACCACTTGCAGTTGGCTCTCGTTCACGCTGATATGGGGTGCGACATAGGCAGCGTCGGGTGGCGGTTGACGCATAACCACCGTCTTCTCCGTGTTACTTGTCAGGCCGAAGTTCTCGTAGGCGGCGGCGAAAAGATTTATGCTCCTTTACATGTCTACTTCCGATATGGCGTTAATGGCGCAGTCGTCGGTGAAGAGAAGTTCGTGGACGATGTTGTTGGATACACGCCGCTAGAAGTGCATCCGCGCCGATCGAGGAGGTGGCCATCGGTCCTGTAAATGATGCAGATCCCAGGGTGTTTATCACGGTAGGCGTCCATCAGGATGACAGAGAGCATGAGGCTGAGGAGGTTAGGCGCCAGGAAGCAGCCATATTCCACTTCGTTGGTCATTGCAAATACTTTTGATACAGCTCCGTCCTCCGTGACTCGCGCCATCACGCCATCCTGGAGTTGACACACCATCTGAGTGCATCGTCCAGGACAGCTGAATTTCTGCATATTTTTTCACATGCCTTCACGATTCCCCGAATTGAAGGCTTTCGACAAATCCACGAAGGTAGAGCACAGGTGGGTCCGCATATCTTGACACTTCTCCTGTAATTGGCAGACGACGAAGGTCATACCCATGGTCCTACGATGACGGCCGAAGCCGCACTGGCCTACCGGCAGGCGACCTTGTTCTAGATGGCGGTTCAGGCGGTTGAGTAGAATGCGAGCGAAGATCTTCCTGGCGATGTTCAACAAGGAGATGCCTTGGTGGTTGTTGCAGAACTAGCAATCACTTTTCCGTTTAAGAGATGAACGATTTAAGCGTCCTTGGAGTCATGCAGGACCTCTCCTTGACGCCACATCTCCTGGAATAGCGTCGTCAGAGGATCCATGAGTTGGGGGTCATCGTGCCTGTAGATCTCATCAGGGATCGCGTCCGACCCGGGTGCTTTCTCGCTGGAGAGCTGCTGCACGGCCCTGATATGTTCGTGGAGAGAGGGCGCGAGGTCGAGGCAGACGGGCGATGACGACGTCGGAGAGGGCGGAGGGACGGTTGAGGGCGCCTCGGAAGTGCTCGGCTTATAGCTGTAGGATTTCAATTCAATTCAATTATTTTTATTAAAGGCCCGTCGGGGTCCCATCAAAGCAAGTAAAAATAAATTAACATCCGAATTTTAGACGAGGTAGGCAAAATCTGTACAAAGTGCAATGCATAGTTTTTGAGATTAGAAGACCGTTAACCAAAATGAAAAACGAGGGGTGAAAAAAAACTCCAGAGCAAAATTTAAAAATGATTGTTTTAATTTAACAGGAGAAAAAACCCTCAAAAAATAGCATCAGAAAAATGCAGGGAGGACTGGCCTGCATGTGGCGGTATAGAATGGAATATAGTCGGACATCAACATGGCCGAAATAAATGTCAGCTGTATATGGCATTGTGTAACGGATTTTATAAAATGGTACATAGGCGGGTCGGTCAGGACTGGCCTGTATGTGGCCTTCCCAATGAGTAAAGTTGTTCCGTCGTCGCTAAGAAGAGGAGCAGTACCTCTGGTTGGCGGACCGTAGATGGCTTCGATCGAGGCAAAGTTCTTCCATTCGCTACGATCCGCGTACGCTTGGATCTCCTCAGCCTTGCGAGCCGTCCAGGTGTCCTGCATCACTCGCGTCCGCTGTTGCACAAGGCGACGATATGGTAGAAGGTTGTTTTGTTGTCCTCGATTGGGCGCTTGACGTAGACTTTGTGCAGACCGTTCTTCTAGGTGAACAGGTTGCGAACCATTGTCTGGAGCAACATTATACACCCTCGCCCTCGTCTCAACTGTTTACATTGCCCACGCACCTTTATTCAATGCGTGTGCCTACTCTGCCATATGGGTTTCAGTGGAAATCCTCGATAAAATACCGCAGTTTGGCAACACCATTCCACATGCCATCATCAAAAATATACACCACACATTAAAGCGTTCCTCATTTCCACTACACGCATGTGACCAGTACCTCTCCTGTAAGTGTTAATCGCGTTTCTCGTCTCATTTTTTCAGGTGGCATCTATGGAACTATAGCGCATGAGAGATTCCAGCCGCCCAGGCCCTTATTGCGAAAATCTGATGTTTTGATTTTAGGAGATGTCCTATGTGGCGCATGTATACGGGCTATCGTAACTCAGTGAGCCAGTTGCGTTCAGTCCGTGCATCAGATGACTGACCAACCCGTGAAGTGGACCGATGCCTTGTAGAGGGAAGAGGAAGTGGGGCAGAAGCTGGAAATTCGTCCCCGACCCCCATGGCACTCAGCGCGTATTACTCACAATGAGCATTATGACGCAATACCAGCTATCACAGTGCGCTTAAAGCTGTGTTTTGAATGGCTACCAACTGACAGGATAACTTGCCCTCTCATGACGGAAAGGCACATTGAAATGGCTTTTTCTTAACGGGGCTTCTATGATACTCCTACTCATTTGGGATCCAGTTTAGTTTACTTCAGTTTATATGGGAAGGCTAGTAGACAAGGCTTTTGAAAACCTTGCTGTTTCCACGTCAGATCGTTAGATACAACTGTACACGAACAATTTAAATAAACCGGTAATTGATTCATTTGAGTACCATTGTTTTGAGGAAAACCTTTCCGGGATCGCGATGTATTTAGATCAGGTTCAGACTGTCGAGGGAAAACAGGGGACACAAATGATCGTCCAAGCGTTTCTTCAGGAGTTGCATGGAGGTCGCCTTCACGACTGATTGAGGGAGATTGTTTCATTTCTCCACTACTCTTTGTGTAAAAATATCAGAAATAAGATTAGGCCTGGACAGTTATGTCCGTAGCTTCACCGAGGGACAACGCAGGCTGGGTGAAAGGGGCCACTGAAGCATGTCCTCAAAGCTAAGCCCATGCTAAAGGCCATGTATTATCTTGTAAACCAGTATAAAATCACCTCTTTGCAGCTTGTAAAACAGAGCGAATAATTTAAGGCAATTCAATGCGGCCTCATTCTTGCTTACGTGGAAACATGGTCAAATGTGAACGGACGAGGCGCATGTGGCATGCAGAGACTAGCTCCTTAACTCTGTCAACCATTGTCTCCGGTCCTCTTAATTCTGTCTTGACAGAAGGCTTAGGTGGGTGAGGAAGGACAGAGTGCAGTAGATGCCGCGCACATCTACGATCAATATAAACTGATTTGCGCTCAAACCACCGTCATGCAGGCTCTGTGCTTCGGGTCACATGGTAACCATCGCCGGTGAAGACGAATAAACCGTCATGAGAAGTTAGGTGATAAAGTTAAGTAATGCGCGAACACATGCCAAACACGACCTGCTTCCCAAATGCCCACTAGCTGTGCTTTAAACAAAATGGAATAGTGAATGTCACACTAGCAGGAATGACAATCTACTACACTGAGAAGTTAATGCAACCTGAAAATCAGACCGGTATTTTTGTGTCCAGCGAGAAATATCCGCCCCTTTAATTGGAGATCGCCAAACCCAGTACTGTTGACTCCTTTTTATGACCGAAGATCTCACTAATTTCTTTATTATTCAAATCCAATTGCGAGAGTAGAACTTCATTTTTCTTTATCTCGCTCCCATTCATATACGATAGTGATCTGTTTTTAGTTAAGTCGTCTGGAGATGATGTTGAACGCAGTGGCATACGTTAATTAAATCTGTTTTCTGGCGCATATATGTGAGTAAGCTAATCTTGAGGGGCTCCCATAGATCAGACTACGTGTAAAATATACACCCACCTCCAGTTTAGCGGAAAAGTTGCACAGATTCGTCGGAGGCGGAGTTATGTTATCCCTCTATTTTTGGAGAAGCATGGACAGAATGGCTCCTAGCTATCTTTTTATTGTGGGTGCAAACGAATTCACATTTTTGTCAAGCTGATAGGTTGTTAAAAGACGTCCCGGACTACATCTCACAGAACGAACTGCGGGACACCCTCCTTCCTTTTGCTAACATCTAAAGTTAACTACGGTTACACAGACCTCAATATGAATGCCAGTATGCGAAGTTGCTTTATATCTTAAGGAGATTTTCGGTACCACAAAGGGCGAGTCATAGTTATAGATTTCTGGGAGGTCCTTCGTGTCTGGCACGGCGCCTAATTATTTAAAAGAAATCTGCAAAACTGATGCAAGGATACGAGGGGTGCATATTTCAATGACTCCAATAACTGCAAAACGAGTAGTTTAAAGATTCGATCAGATATTTAAAGATCAGGAAGTCTATTTCCAGCTTTTTCATTGTCAAAGTACAAATTCTCTGGCATTAATTCGAGTTCCATAGTGAAGTAAAGTGATCGTAAGGCGTCAGGATATTCAGAAGCCTGCGGATCTCACAATCGTCTATATGCCATAACTGGATTGTCGAGGCAGTGCCAATGGGCTGCCGAGGATTCCCTCAAAAACTGCTCAAACTCCCTGACCAAAACTTATGTATTTTCTATCCACGTACTGCTTGACCTCATCTCGAAAATCATCTTGTTTCCTCGAAAATATGGTGGGCGGTAAACGTGACCTTCAGAATTACTAATCCATCTTACAGCCCCATAAGCCTTTAAAGTTCTCAGTCTGCTTGCAGTGGAGACCAAGAGCCAACGTGTAAATCTCTACGAAAGCCAAAAACAATTAACTGGGTAGTCAGCAGTGATCCGGATTTCTTCATCAACGCAGGCGACACTCGCAACCTCTCAAGGCATTCTCATAAAGTCCACAAGCCGCTTAGTATCTCAAGAATTGAATGAGCTTTATTTACTCAGAGAGCCGCGAACTCCGAAATAAAGATGGGGAGGATGAGCCTTTGTTCTTTAGTAAGAGGCACGAATCCAGTTAATTACGCAGGATTATGATCCTTTCGTCCACCGGTTGTGGTGATATATTTCCTATGCTGGAACAACAACGCGACCATTTTCCGCATATATATTTCTCTTTTTAACAGAGTCGAAAAAAAAGAAAGGTTATGCTGAGTTGAGTGCTCTGTGCGTCGTCTTATAGCTAAAGCTTTCTGGTTTTGTATTCAGCAGCCTTATCCAGCCTAGCGCGCACACCTTTTTTCAATATTTGCATTCTTTCGTATGTTTATCTTGTTTAAATTCACGCAAACAGCTGTGATATCAGAGTTTCATTAACGAAGGCTTCTGTTAAGCTCATTGCCTTCTCTTATCTTTGCTGTGGATTTCGGTTTACTAAATCTATCCTTGGCCTAATATTCCCACTCGTCTGGATGAATACTGAAACGTACCAACAGACCCAAAGGCCTTCGGAATTCGGCATACTTCTTACATCTTTTATTCTCATTAACATTCTGACTTATGTCTTCACCGCAAATTCCCCGATCTCTACATTAATTTGGAACTAATCTCATGCTTATGCGGAATAATTTTCAATGGGTTATGTACCAATTGGTACATTGATATATCTTGAAGGAAATGCCACCAATTTGTGTCAATTTTGCTGCTACCACTCCCACCATTAGGTTGCATTTCTGCTTAATCTGTGCATGGTGTGACAAAGTATTAAACATTTTCAAACAACGAACTAATAATAATAATGCCACAAATACCGTAGATATGAATGTAGTATTCGAGCCACTCAAGGGTATGGTCTTGCCTTCTTCTCCTTTTAGGCGACAGTCCGTGCTGGCTTCCTTGGTATTCTTATCCGAACGAGTGCGTCCTCGGCGGGAACCCTGGGAATCAGAGTGAATTAAGTCCATCATCTGCAAGGGCAAGCGTGCACGGATAGAATGGATCGACGGTGGATAAAGTTTATTAAAGGGAATATAACAACAGAGGAAATTTAATCTCGTTCCGTCTTCTCCTCGTCCTCCACTTTACGGACGGTCTCTCGACGGGCCCCCTCACACTCCTCGACGGCGGTCACTAAAACAAAACCGTTCAGAACTTCAATCAGCCAAAATGTACAGGAAGATCATAGCAAGGGCACATTAAAACAACAGGGTCAGTACGTCCTCTACATGAATGTCCGTCGTTGTGTTTTGCTTTAATTGGTAGGCGAACGAGTCTATTATTGGTCAGTATCCCGCTCCTTCTAGTCTCTTAGCCCATTTGCTCACCACGGGCTTTACTTTTCATCACGGTCCTGGTCTACCTGCATATTTCGCACATTGCTGCTAATTTCAATGAGGCACGGTATAGTGGCCCTTGTGGCTTTATTTGCTGCTACATCATGCATAATTGGAAACGCTTTCTATCAGAAGAAGCAGTTTTTTCCCGCCGTAATCTATCTTGCGAAGTACCGACCATTCTTCGCGGTATGTTTGGGATGATTTCACGAAGAGTACAGGTCATACTGGCTCAGTGCCTTACTTTCCTGGTAATGATAGCTAAATGTATCTGCTGGCTATTCTTTGGAACCCTTCAACGTTCCGAAGTTGACGTAAGTAATGCAATTTTTCAGTTAACTTTTGCAGAACATACTTTCACGGGCGTGGTACACGTTTTTCGACATGTGCTTGGTGTTTGCGTTTTTCCAGGACGAACTGAACACGAAGTTTATGTTTTTATTCACAATAATTTTGTTCGTGAAAACTTTTCATTGGCTTCTTGAGGAGCGAATCGAAAACGTAAGCAAATGCCATTTAATTTGTAACTTTCTCAGATGGAACGCACGCCCGTTATAACCTTGTCATTTCATTTGCGGATCACAAGTAGAACTTTTGAATTCTCCATTCATAAAGTCCATTCTAGCGTTTATCTGCCTACTGGCAGCGATCGATATATTTCACATTGCCTACTTCTATTGGGGGACGGACGTGAGGATGTTATCTTCGCTTGCGGTTGGAGCTGAGGTTCGTCATCCCAACGCTTTACGAGACCTTACAATTTCTAAATTATTTTTTGACGTCGAATTGTAGCTGGCATTAGAATTAGCCGTTGTTGACCACTAGGATAGCCCCATGCTTTCCATTCTAAACCTACTCACTGCATTCGCCTCGCGCGGAACCACTTCTTTGGCATACCTCGTTTTTTATCTTTTATATGTCCTCGTGGCCTTTTAGTGTTGCTGTCTCAGTTACGTATACGAAGTTCTACTTCAACTCAAGTTAAGCCACTCTACATAACAGAAGCGCAAGCTGTACTGCAGTTTTTCTGCCGGTTCGGCTACCCCGTTCATATTCACTAAAATGAGTCGCGCGGTTTTCTGCGGGACTTGTTCGCATATCATAGCATCCTCGTAGGCTTACTCGTCTATTGCCACTGGACCTGCTCCCGTCACCACCCAGCACTCTGTCAGCAGGGGCGAGAAAGCTGTTACATTAATTCGCATATTTCAGTCGTTTGAGCTACCAGCAGTAAATAACACTGAAAAATAGTAGCACTCATCAAGCTTTGACATCGTACTAGTGTTGCATATTTCTCGGCTTCCAATCATAGGCTTATTTTTCGTAACCGATTTGCCGACATAGCTGACCATGTGCTCATTCCTCAGTTGTGAAATTTTTCTCATTTCATCCATTTCAGTATTATATCCTGCTATTTGGACTCTTTTCGACAATCGTACGCTACATTCTTCAAACAATTAGCTCATTGCGTGACTCTCCATGGGATCAGAAAGCAATGTATATGCTTTATGCTGACATTGCGGTTGGATTATTCCGTTTGAGCTTCTACTTAGAATTCGCGCCAATTTTGTGGTCGCATCATCCCTTCCCACTCTTCATGGTCAGACCAATTTATCTGAACTTCCGTTTCTTACGGAAAACTGTCAGAGTAAGTCTAAAGAATTCTTTAGTTATTTTTGACCAAGACTTCTATCCCACTCCACCTCTTCATGAAGCCCCCCCCCCTTTAAACTACATCCTCGAACTTGCCATCAGCCCTCATCCACCTCGTATGACTCACCAGTTTAAAGAAGCTCGCAATTTGTCACTTTGGTCCAGGTTCTCTGAACGATCATTCTTTTGTCGTAGCATATCTCTTTTTACAATCACAATTTTAGTATTAGTAAGTCTTCGCCGCATGCAAAATTTACTTTGGCATCGATTTTCCGTTAAATTGACTCACTTTCTTAGTGTTTGGGGGTTTTGTACTCGTTGGTTAGGAAGGGTCGTCCACGCACTCTTATAGAGGGAATGCCGCGAACAAAAGAGACTGAAATGGTCATTTCTGGCAGCCATCCCAAGCTCCAAGGCAAAAAGGACCGAGCATGTGCCGTACTGTAACCAGTTCGGTGGACATTTCCTCCGTGTCAACACTCTTATCATGCACAGCAGTTACAGCACACCCCCGTTTTATTTTCGAAGGTTGTGGACTCCGGCGAAATATAGGCCGTTCATTTTCGCTCCGAGGAAGAGACTACCGGAAAGAAGACTAGAACATATGGAGATAAGATCAAAAGTAAAGGCACGAATGGTGGCGAAAGTTCGAGTTCCAAGTGTGTAATTCAATTTGGGGTAGGAGAGTAGTCAGGCACCAGAGCAATTTGTTTATTTTTCTGAGCCTTCGGACTCATTAAGGTGCCGTAGTAGGAGATGAAAGCGGCGACGGAAAAGCGACAGTTGTGAGGGATATCAACCCTTAAACGACCAGGGCCGAAGACATGACTAGCATTATCTCTGGAAAGATGGTACATCTGACGGCCTAGATAAAGTCGGGGAGAATCTTGCTTACCCCAACCTTTCATTCTAATCTGCCTACCTCTACCTACTAGCATTTCGGAATTTCTGGAGTCTTTTGCTTATCACGTACTCATACTGAATGGTCACACGGCCTGCTTGCCTCCTCTCTAATCCGAGATTCAAAGTAAAGAATTATGTGTTGTTAATAGGAGCGTATCTACTCATCATTTTATTCACACACACCACTGTTTTCATTTGCCTGCCGGGTGCGTATTGTGTTTTGATTTTTGTGACCAGACCGTCTGCAGTCAACGGATATGTTTTAATTACCGTAATCAACAACACACGTAGTCTCTAGTTTATGCATTTTTACTTCACGCACATTATCGCTTACTAATCTTGGTCTTGTCTCATCAGGATCTCCTAATGTCTCAGCGTGCTATCAGGCTGATGAATACAGTCTTTCAGGACATTACTGTTGCTGAGTTAGCAGCCTCTAGCGATACTGTCTGCATAATTTGTCGTGAAGAGATGAATACGGTTGCTGCCGCCACACCTGCCGATGGCGAAGCCGCCCAACAGCAACAACCACGCCCATCGGGCACAGAAGTCGCAACCTCTATCAAACGCCTGCCCTGTTCACATATCTTCCACGCAACCTGTCTGCGTTCATGGTTTCAACGACAACAAACCTGTCCTACCTGCCGGCTGAATGTCTTGCGCGGCCCTAGACAGGCGTCGCAACAGGGACAGCGGCAACAGCAGCAGCAGCAGCAGCCAGGGCGCGGCGAACAACCAGCCGCCCAGCCCAGGCCGACGACGACTACCTCACAGTCACCCTTGGATTCAGCGTCTTCCACAAACGCCGCTGCCGCCGACTCTTCACGACCTGCATTTCCCACCACTGCCGGTGCCGGATTTGTGAGTTCACCTTGTTCGCGATCGGACTGCCCGTCCAATTTGCTTCCATCTTTTTTTCAGGCCTAGACAACGTTCTAGTATATGCATTTGTGCTTGCAAGAAGTTATGCATCGTTCACGGATCGATTGACTCAGGATCAACACGTTTGACCCATTTGTACGTGCAGACTGTTAGAACTATAACAATTGTAATCAGTACTGCACCATTTTGGCTCGTAGATAGCATGTGCTTTTATACTTTCAGGGCGATAAAAGTGCTAAAGTACTATCCAGGACAGTGCAGGCGAAACAGTTATCTCTGTCGTTTCCAAGCCGTTTGTGAACTGCTGAAATGTGCACGCCTATTTTATGTTTATTTTTGGAACTGTTATTGAGTGATGTTTTTAACCTCCCCTCATCTCTTGTTGACTGAGTGAACTGCTAGCAAACGGCGTATAGTACCGAAAGTGTGCTTCTACTTCTTCATTTTTCGGATGTTTAGCTCTACCTAGTCTTAAGTGTCAAACTTTAAGAAGGGATTGTAATGACCCTATGCCATACGAGCCATGACTCGGCAAGCGCACTCTATAGACTGTCGACGCTCGCATTTCTTCAGGCTTCTTCTCGGATATTTATATCTTGTGTTGGCGGCTCAAGATGAGCCTTCATTTTCCGACAAGCAGTCCGCATTTTGATATTTCAACCAATGACCCATAGCTATTTTCTGGACAAAGATCTACTTCTTACGTTTTGCGGTGTAGACAGGAGGTTATTTAGAAGCACACTTTGAACGTTTTTATTGAAGCAAGCTTTTTTGTCAAAAACGCGACAATTTGTTTGTGATCCTTAATTTTGGAATCTCTACTTATTCGTGCTGTTTACTGCCAATTTTTCCCAGAGCCCTAGCTTCTTTCCAGCATGGCCTTCAATGCCAAATCCAGCATCTGTCCAACCTGGCCAAATGCCCTGTTCGTTTCCGTCTCCATTTGTGGCACCACCGATAATAATCCCAGGTAATTTTACAAATGAATGCGCAGTCCAGTAAGAACTCATTGCTGACGCCACTTTTGTCTATCCCTGCATCTCGTTGGTGCTGCAAATTTCCCCTCCCCGTTGGGGCACTCAATTTTTACAAGAGTTTTCCCACTGCATCGTATGCTCGACTTCACTGACTAGTTTTAACAGCCAATGGCAATATTGTTACGTCGATCTGCCGTGTTTTCCTGAATCTGATTGTAGGCTGGTCACCACCTAGAGTTAGTAAGCGACCAAAAGCATGATAACAGCGGTCAATTGTCAATGACGAAGGGGCGGCTATGACAGCAACTATCTCAAGCTTCTTATGCCCCCAGCCATCCATTCCTGTGTAGATAACCATCTGATTGACTCCAAAGCACATCGACTAATTGGGAGGCGCAGGTAGAACTTCAGCTCGAGGATACTGCTGACTCGTAGATTAAGTGACATTTGTCCAGGGCAAGTGATGTGAGAGGGGCTCATGTGTGGTATGTAGTGATGGGGCTTAATTCGCGGCGGCTTACCGCAGATTTTAATGGAGGCGCTTGTGGGCAAGTAGGCCCATACGATGACTAAATGTACGTAAGTAGTGTGGGCAGTTGAGGCGTGTGCGACGGACGTATGTTGGTGTTCCGGGCACTGGTTCGCCAGTCTCAGTGCTATGGTTCCGCAAGTGGCCGATCAGATCGACGCGTTATGTGCATATGTGGTGGCAACGGGGTCAGAATACGTTGGTTGCTGTTGTATTGGTGACGGTGGGGATATTGCTAGCGGTGGCGACGCTGATAGGGGGGGGGCTGTTAGTATTGCTGGAGACGGGAAAGTTGTCGGATATGCAAGGCATGGTTGGGCTGTCGACGTCATGGTGAATTTCGTCGTGAGGATTGCTGCAGGAGGTGACGCTAGAGACCTTTTCGGAGACAGCAGATGGAGTTGTCCATGTGTTGTTGCATTGGGCACGATATCCGATGAGATCGATCTGGGCGCGAAATGTCCATTGGCGGCGTGAAAACGCCGAAAGTGTTGGGGTGTGTAGGTTGGTAGTCTGGGGCGCTTGCGACTTGCGAGCTGACCTTTAAGCTTTGGAATCGACGATCCGATTGACCTTGTAAATTGCCGCCCTAACCTTTATCGCGTTTCTCCAGACAGGTCGATCCTGGTCTAGGTCTTCTCAAGTCGACTTGCAAACCCATGAGAATGGTGTGTTCCATCTGCACGCCATGGCTTGCCACCTCCTGTTGTGGGCCCAACCTTCACATGGCCAGCTGGTGCTCATGCATTCACGTTTGTAGCTGCCGCCCGGTTTTTCCAGCGCAGTTGCACATCCGGCTGCTACACTGAGGTCGGTAGACAGTGGCCGACGTCTAACTAGGGGTAGCGTCTTTTGGCCGCATTACTTGCCGGCGGACTGTTGAGTCAGATCTGTGAACAACTATTCCGAGTGCCAAAAGAGATCTAGCCACGTCCTCGGAGGCCCTTTTCTAGAACACAATCCTCCTGCATGATTTCGGCAGACTACGCTCTTTCTTCCGCTTCCTTTGTTGTACCCGAATCCGTTCAACGACTGCCCGCGGATGGCCGTTGGCACTGAAGAGTTCTCGAATAAACGTCGTCTCGTCCCGTTTGGTGATTAGCGAGGGAGGAGTAAGTAGTCACTTTAGCAGCCTATGGGGGCGAGATGGAGCTTGTTGTTTGTTGTGTTTTTTATAGAGCGAGTTTTGCATCTACTAGTCTCGGTCAGCTTGCAGGTGTGCGTAATTTCCCAACATGCTAGGGCACCTTTTCTGGTCCCGTCCCTCGCGAGGGCGTAAGCAGTTCTACCCCTAAGTTTGGCTGCTTGGACACCCCAGACGGCTGCCAGACTTCACCATGGGTCACGGCTTTGTTAGCCTAGTACATATAGTGGGGACCAGATCGCGTGTAGCACTCGTCGACGGTCTGTTGAACTTTGTCAGCCCTTGCACTCGAGACCACGTCTGGCCGTCCTACCATTGGTGCCAGGTGGGTAGGGGAGGAGAGAGTGCGGTAGGTGTCGCGAAAGTCTGCCTTGATATAAACTGATTCGCGCGCAAGTCACCGTGATATGCGCATCCCCTAGACCAAGTGGTGATCGTCGTCGCTGGCGACGGACGGTCAAACTTCATAGATGTTGTGGGTTCGAATCCCACCGAGGCGTCGAGGTTTTCACAGTTGGGTCAGTATGAAACTTTCGTAGCTTATGTTACCCGGCCTAATTTTGAAATTTCTGTCCTACACTAGGCGTCTTGTTTTGCATCGAAAATTTATAATTTGTGCCTGATTAATCAGTTTCACTTCGATGCTGCCTGGATGTTCGTCTGGAGTGTATTCATCCCACTTGTCCGCCCTATCTATCACTGTTTCACTCTCACCCAGTGTTCTTATTTACCTCTGGGTCTTGTTTATTGTTCGTTGTTTTTTGGAACAATCTCTGAATATTTCTAATGCCCTATTAACTACATTTGCCAGATCGCATTGGGTGGGAGAAAGACCATTATTATTATTATTATTATTATTATTATTATTATTAGTATTATCAAAGCACTCATTCCATAACTGTCTACTTTAATCTAGGCACGGTGCCCTTCCCCTGTCTGTCACCGCTTATGCCCACACCGCCGGCGGACTTGGCTCAGCCACCCGATGAGGCTCGCCTCAGGGCCAGCGTTGAGGCCCGCGTAGCTCTGCTGCAACAAGTCCAAACCCTCCTCGACGCTGCAGTCCTGCAAATGAATGCCTATCTGGCGGTGGTTTCTCACCCGAGCCTGGTCTTGCCGAACAGCCCTCCGCCAAGATCCACCTCCACCCTTGTCCCATCATCAGCTGTGGACCCCACTAAGGAAAAGAGGTACTACTTGATACTGCACATTTTCTTCATTATCCAGCAAAATGAAACACATCATAGGGAACTTTGCCCACAAATTTTGACATGCCAGAGATTCCTGTGGCATCCAGTTTCGTCGGCATCAATGTTTGGTCAACTGCTGTCGCAACCCATCGTTACAAATCTGCCCTAACATGAAAGTCCCCCAAAGCCCTCTGTTACCTGCTTTTTGCCTACCGGCTGTTGTAATTCCGTTTGCCAAGTCGTTCGCATTCTACGACGAAAGTTCGCATTTAACCTGACACACGCTGGACTCTAGTTGTCTACTGTACTCAATTACTCCACCGCAAACGCTCTTTACCAGTCATCGGTATTGGCAATCACCTCAGTGCTGACCACGAGACCAACACAAGTTAATAGCAGATCGTAATGTGGCTCATCTGGTCGCCGTTTTGCGCCGACACAACCTGGCGTAAGTGGAGCTTACAAGTTGGCCGAGTCCCTTCCGCAGAACAGACTTGCACTTGCACTGTAAGTATTAATGGAGGGAAAGAATCTGCAAGTCAATCACACTCATTCAACTCTCTTTTTAGCCCTGCAAAGGTGGAATGTGCGACAGAGGAGGAGGAGGTTTCCACGGCGGCCAAGACGCCATCGGTCAACCCAGACCTTGCCGGTGACGGTAATTCATGCATGCTTCATTCTCTTCTTTCAAGCTTGCTTATTTGTGTCTTCCATGTTGATCGCAGAGATCCGATCCTGTTGTGTAACTTTATGACTCCTGAAAGCAGCCATTGCCCAAAACATTGATGTTTGACACGTATGACAGTTTGACAGTATTCGATGATGTCCACCTTGTGCCCAGGGTGCAGGGACAGTGACTTACACGTGAACTGGTTTATAGTGATGGCCTACCTTCCCTGCGCCTAACCCGTTCTCCGCTCTCGCCCTCCTGTGCCCTGTGTTCTTGGCAGAGTCAAGAAGACCGGAGACGGGAAAGCACACCGGTTAATGGCGCGGCGGGGATCCGCACCTAGGCGCGTCACTACACTCCCTGGTCCGCGCACAAAGGACCTGGGTTCCATACAACAAGAAAGATGGATGGTGACTCGGATCCCAACTGAGTGGGAGTACCATAAAGGCCACATTAGGAAGGGGCCATCGCAGTCCGCTACCCAGTCCACCACCACACGCTAACACAACTGAGCTGACTGTGCCATCTGAGTTGGCAAACTTTCAAGCCATGGCTTTTAATGCACCACGATAGTCTTGAACGTTTCAAGTTGTTTATAGTGAAGAATATGCACAGAGAGTCGACTTAACTCTGCCCTTCCCCGTGCACCAATCGATTTTCGGAGCCGGTCGATCAGCTGATGCTGAGGTTGGGGAACTTGGCTGGCAGAGCTAAGAACATTCCGTCTACGCGTGCCACACACACGACCTGGCACACGCCAGCTTTTTCTTGCTACCTCGCCCGTTTCATAGTTCACAACTTTAGTAACACTCTTCCCACTTCCCCACGTAGATCTCGACGTCTTGCGCAAACACCGGCTGGAAAAGTTGAGTCCAAAGCATCCTGCGGACGAACCCACTGTTTCTCCCGAGATTAAGGATACGGCTAAGGAATCAGACAAACCATCAGACGACTTACCTAAAACAAACTAGGTGTCTCTTCAGAACCTCCCCCTCCCTCGTACTCTGAGGTGCTTACAATTTGCACATTATGTCATACCTTTCATCGCCCCCGTTTTTTGTTGTGGTTGTCAGCTCTCCTTCGCTTTTTATTCTCTTGCCTTACTTTTTTGGCTTCATAAAGTCATTACCCACAGAAAGTGTATCATTTCTTTTACCTTAGACGGATCCCGGTTAGAAATGCCTTTGTCCCCCATCTCTGACTTTGAAGACGGGGTGGGTTTGCAGGAGGACCGGGTGTCCGGCGGGATTTGGTAATTTAAGTCAAAGTGCATTGGTGTGGCCGTATTGGAAGCGGCAGCCGAATTTTGCCTGCAATCGAGTAAATAACTGCTTCTCCAAAAGGTGGTGAAAGCATGTTTACGTCTCTCTCCCCAGACGGTGGCTGGTTGAATGGAGGCAGAATAAGGCAGAAGTATTCCTCCATTTATTTGCTCTCTCATCTGTCGTTACATCTGCGGGCGTAGCTCGACCGAGTTTAACCTAGCCTGTCCATGACCTCTGCCATCCATTCGGAACATTTTTCTTTCGGAAAACAGGTGGGTCGGTGTGTGCCCATTCACGTATTAGTGAGTCCTGTTTTGAACAATGGGACGCCAGCGAAACACGCAGGATTTGATGGGGCCATGAATCCTGTGCCTGCAACTTGTCATCGTATAGTTACAAAACCAGTGGTTCATTAAGGAAACATCTGTAGGTCACCAACTGAGATTGCTGCGAAGACGGCGGGGGGTATTCGGCCGATCGGGGGGGGGGAGGAGGGTACTTCGTCTGCGGTCCCCACGACGACAGTACGAGTGGGTCACGTGACTTAACTGCTTGCGCAGTTCTGATTTTCTCTATAAGCACGGCCCCTGAATGGCATGACAAACGCCTGATCGTTGCTTGGGATATGACCTCTGAGTCCACCACGCGGCCATTGCCCACCGGGTGCTTCGTGTTCTTACCTCTCGAGTCATATATCCTGCGGTCAGCAGCCCGGTTTATGTTCGACTGACCGAGTTACTACTGCCTTTGCGTGCGCACAGTGCGTTTGCATCCGCAACATGCACGCACCCTGACGTGGTGTTCGTAGGCAAAACACATGTAATGCTCTGGCCTGAATATTTGCTGCAAGGCTTGGGAGCAACAACGTAAATCGTGCATCGGAACCGTCGTCTGGGTAGGTTTGACACTTCACGCTTAGAAAAGGAGTAGGTGCCCACAGGTCTTTTCGAGTTATTAGGTGACCGACTAGTCTTCCATGCTGAGCGACCCCAGCCACGCTTGAAGAGTTTCCGATGACGTCCCAACCCTCGCTTGTGTGCTCGACCCTCGCACCCCTCCCATCCATAGGACTGATGAACATTTACCGGTGTTTATGTACGCACCTCATTTGACTACTCTGGGGCTGTTTTCATATTGCGCAGTTAGTTTTACAAATATGCAATGACAATTGGCAGTCGAACAAGTGATCACGAAATGTATTACTCTATTATCTTGTTTCTTTTGCCAACATCGCTTTCTTAAAGCTTATTCCGGAGGAACGGCAATCTTTCGCGTCAGCACATTCGTTGTGTCTGCTCTGATTTCTCAATATTTACCCAGGAAGTGTCTCCGCGGGAGAGTTGCTAAAACAAGCAAACTCCCAGGATGTAAGTTATCTAACGACGGTGTCTTTGTGCGTGTTTATTCCTGATTTGACCAGAAGCTGACAGTAGTTCTGAGCCAAGACCAGACAGATGACAATTCTACTGCTGCAAGGGACGTCCATGCGAGCCCCACTGAGTAGGCACAGCACCGGTAACTTGCGCGTGAATGAATTTACGGTGGGGTAGACTTGCTCAACATCCGCCGCCCTCTCTCCTCCCTTCCCACTTTATTTGGATTGTAAGACCACCGGAGGCGGGTGCGGACGTAATGACTGGCAAGGTTGAACAACCCCTCTACGCGTGCCACACACAGACCGATGCGTGCGCGGAGTTTTCGAGGAGATAGCTCGGGTCTCACAAGCCTCGGGGCGCCATAAAGGTCACATGGCTTGACTCCAATCCTGTGGGGGACCGTGCTATCTCGTCAGCTGACGGCCTTCCAAGCCACGACGCGTGTCGTCGCAATATATTCAAGCGCGTCAGATTTTATTATAACGAAACATATTCTGGTGTGCCGTGGAAATGGGCTCCCGGCGCTGGCCTCGCTCTCTCTCTCCCCCTCGTCAATGCACCAATCGACTATTCGAGCCTGCCAACCAGCGGGTGATGATATTAGGCTCAGTAGCTGACAGGTCATGAGGGCCTACGTCTAGGGTCTGCCGCTCACATGTGCGGCAGCAGTTATGCTCTGGCGCGGGCTAAACGCAGCTCGATAAACCAGTGTCGTGAGGAAGTTTGCAGCGCAGCCCGTTGTGAGGACAAACAACGATCCACCGATAATCGGATTTCAATAAGATCGTTCGGTCTGAAGGCCACGACCAAGGCTGAGTAAGGAGCTTGTCTACAAGGAATCGCCCCCACGGAGGGTGTGCCACAGATCTATCGTAATCTTTATGCATCCACCAACTCTGGATAGGTCCATTTGCCTAGTTATGTTGCTAGACTTTTATCTGGGAAAGGAGACCAAACTGGTTTGGGATCGACAAGCACCGGATTATTATCCTGTGCTCAGTAAGCCCCTTCATCTCTTGATGCGGAAAGCACATCTTGTAGGTATGTGCTGATCACCCTCTTGGAGACCTCTCGATGCTAATCGGTTCAGTGATTGGGAAGCTGCGGGGTATCTTCTAATGACAAAACGAGACTTCAGTCTAACACTACCACAGAAGCATTTGTTTGCTGGATTCATTTAAAATGATTAGAGGGGTTGACCGGATATGTCAGCGTGGTTTTTGGAGGTACTACCATGAGGCTTGTCCTTCAAAATAAACTCTTGTTAACTCCGTTTTTTGGTCCCGCTTACGCCTTACAGATGTTTGAATCTATTTTAAACTTTTGCCCTATTGTGGGTTTGCAATCCTCTTCTGACCGCAGCATGACTATTGAGGGTTTGGACATTAATAGGGGTAAGATCTAGCTTGTTTGTCACGAAGTTTCTGGGTCCTCTTTTTGGGTGGCATAGATGCCGTTTTGGGGCAGTTTCTTTGGACATGTTTGTTTGGACGACTGCTTGTCTTTTGTACCGTCTGCTGTTTAGGCGAAAATTTTCCGGTTCGGTCGGGTCCTCAGTAGTTTCTTCAATTGTTCTCTCGGCCAGAGACAGCTCCCGTCGGTCATTCGGGGTTCCCTCTTCTGAGGAATGAGTCCTGCCCAAAAATGTTCTCACCAGCTGCCACTGAATCTGCGCCTTGGATGGAAAATCCTATAGTGGAAGTTGGAATTTCTGTCGTGGCAGGAAGCCTGAAATAGACAGTTTCAGAGTTCATGTTCTCCAACATCGAAGATCGAAGATAGGTGGTGCGTTGTATAGCGGACACTTGGTGTCACTCACGCCGACATCACACTATACGGCATGAAAGTTTGACAATGAGCGAAGAAGTTACGTGCTGCATGATGATTTCCCGAATTCAGAGTCCTGGTGTGGAGGTGAGAAGAAGGAATTAATGAATCCCACTCCGAATGCATTTACGTGGTTTGTAACTGCAAGAGTGCTGCACTATGACCTTGCATCTAAAACACGCATTTTTACTTCAGTGTCTGCCCTCCAAGGCCCCACTCGACTCGCCTGGGTGTCAAACAAGCATACGGCTCAGTGAAACGTGACACCTTCAATGGTTAATGCCTCTCGTGCGTGCATATCATTGCTCACTCTTACTGCCATTTATTTCGCTCAGAAGAAAAACAGAAAAACATGTTGGTTATCGACTATGTTTGTTATACTGTTTGTTGGCATATTTTCTAGAGAAATTAAGGACCAGTTTCACTGAAACTGAATGAGCTGTTTAAGCAGAGTGAAGAGCCCTACTTAGGCTCGGACCAGAATGAGAACGGTGTGATCGATTATCGGTGAAGATGGCGATGTCCCCTCCCCTCTCAATCACTGACCTCCGCTCCTACAACTATCTTCGTCGCAGATCGCCTCACTCCCTCGATTTTAGCATCGCCACGTCCGGCCCCTGCGGTTGCCCACAGCACTGCACTCCCCACAGATGATCTGACAAACACGACAGAACGCCCCCCTCTCCCACGCCAGATGGGACTGATGCATGCGAAATACATCTTATTTTATATTGTAGCCCTACTACGCATTTACACAATTATCTCCACTAGACTAATTTTCATACATCTTTATTACCTTTTCTTATAACCTCTTTATACATATATGTGTTCGGCGTGATGCCTACCAACTCTGCTCAGTATTCCCGCGGTCTGGAAACGACCGCAGACACTTAATTATCCGTGTATGTACCAACCTTGACATCTTCGGCCGCAAAAATCTTATCTTTTGTGCGTCCGGCTGAACCTACACATTACCACTCTGGGGTTCAGTTTTACGGAACTTTCCTCACCCTTATGCCTGTTGCATGCTCCCACTTTTACCGTTTCGCGTTTTTGGAAGTTTGTACAAAGGTTTTGCATAGTAATCTGACAGCTATTCCTTTTTTAAAACCCACCACCCTTCATCCCTTCCTTCATGTTTGTCTTCAGAAAGTCTTGCATTTCGTTCATAGAAGTGGACGTTTTGCTGAGTATGCAGGCCTCTTCAAATTTCCTTGGCATACAACTGCTTCAAATAACATAGGTTCCACTGTCGAATGTTGTGTGGTCGACAGGATAAAGATTTCCAATCAAAAGTCAGGGAAGACGGTTTGAGTTGGACAACCTTTACTGTCTGAGGAAGTGCGTACACAAGGACTCTGTAGGCAGTCGCCGCGAGAGCGCTCCAAGCAAGTTGTTGTCTGTGTCGGCCTTCGGGATGTTGTCAACGCGTGTGTGCGCCCTTCGTTGTCCGCAAGTCCGCCAGCCAATCAGAGTGGGGACAGCGTTGATTGGCTTCGAGCA